ACAGGGAATCAAACAGGCAAACTTTTGGTGCACAGGATGATGCTCAACCAACTGAGCCACATTGGCTAGGGGCTCTAACATTTTTCTTAAGATATAAGTATTGTCCCCATTTTCTAGATCTAACGGTGCCTGGAGTTACATATATAGGGAAATTGAATACAAATCTATGAAACTCTAAAACCCATAATGTTCTTGTCATTAGTATTCTGATGAGGTGGGAACCCACAATCTTTTGGAGAAGATGGCCATATTTTGTTCCTCAAGAAACATGGTGTGTGTTTAGTAGAGAGATGAGGAGAAAGAAGACAAAATTTGGGTGAAGTTCTCCCTAATAAAGCAATAGGAATTCCTGAAAATTAATAAGGTCTTACTAGGCAGCACCAATTTTTTTTTGTTAGATTAAAGAGGTAAAAATAAATTGAAGTCAGTTCTGTTTAAGCTAGTTATGGGGAGTGCATGCATGTGACAGTTGCCTTACGACTTTGAATATTTAAATGTTAGCTGCTCCTCAGAGCCACATATATTTTCCATATACTATTACCTTCCTTTCCCCCCTCCACTACACCAGTTTCTTCAAATGACCTAGTTTATATCATTTTAGGTCAGTGCTGCCATGCCTCTGCCAGTAGTTGAGTTTAAGTTGACTTTGAGGCAGGTAAAATGTAGCACATCTATTCATGATTTGCCTATACAACAGTCTGTTTAAACATTTTATGGGTGAGTTAGACCACTTTTGTCCACCAGGGTGCATATAACTTGTATACTAGTACATGCATGGTGATAACACAATCCACGGTTAACTAAAGTTCTTGTTTCTTAAATTGCCTTTGTTTAATGGCATAGGAACACAAGTCCTGTATAGAGATCGTGTCTATTTTATGCACTACTGTACTTGGGCACATTATGAAAATGTAATGATGAATGAATGAATGAATATTTTGACAAAAAATACACCTTCAAAATTCATTCCGTTGGATTTACGCTGCAAAACTTAGCTCCATAATAAAATTAACTTCTATGTCTGCCTTCTTTCATTTGACATTTAAAATAAAGTATGGACATATATAGATAGAAACATAGAATAGACTTATTCTGTTCTCTTTCCTCCAGCTTACTTTGTACCTTTCAGGCAGAATCCTGATATCTATAAATATCCTCTTCCCTATTTAGCAAACCCTGGTAATCCTGTGATCCCCTGTCCTCAGCAGTTGGGTTAATATGATGCTGTATTGTATTTGCATTTGTATCGCCTAGACCGTGCTTGAAATGCCATTTATTATTTTGCTGGAAGAAAATATTAGTTGAACTTTCCATTTCTCTGTAATTTCACTTAAAGGTGAAATATGTAAAGCCATTGTTT